TAGTGATTAGAATGAAGGAGATATCCAAGTGCAGAGCCTTTCCTGCCATTCTTACCATCTCTGGGCAACAAAACAGGGAGAAGGCGTTCTCATGGTCTTCTGTGAGGGCTAAACACCATTGCGGAGCAATGTTTTCTAGGGCTCACTCCGATCTGAAACCAGGAAACAACCTGGGCTTTTCCACATCTCCAAATAACATAGTAACGACTCAACAACAGATGAGAGTCACAGTCAATTCTATCTAGGATTTTGTCTTTATTCATCCATATAACAAACAGGCACGAGCACCTAGTATGTTCAACGCACTGTATAAAAATTTACAAGACATGAAAAGGTAAACCAAGAACACATCCCAGCCTCAGCAAACTTACTACCTTGAGGAAGAACTAACATCCTTTCAAATAATGGTAATTTGAGCTCCAAACAGACAAATACCATTAAAATAGATATAAAGTGTTAATGCCATGTTCCCACCGAGCAAATGTACGGGTGAGGAGTAGGAGATGGGAGGATTTGAAAAGTACAAATATAATACATTTTAAAACGACAGAAAGATTAAGACAAATTTTATTAGTACTCAATATTTGTCAAGATAAGATATGCAAGTAGTTGCAGATACTGTTTGCCATTTCATCTCAGAAGGTAAAACTAAGGCAGGTCAGGTTTTGTTCGGAGCCTAAGACTTAACCCAAACGTGGCCAGAGTACATACTGGGATTTCTGTGACTAGGACAGAAGTTGCTCTTAGTTTCGGTGTAAGCATTTCATTCTGCAGATTTCAGTGAACATGTTGGTTCCAAGAGCTGTGTACTCTGCCAAGATATGCCTACTAACATGCACAAGAAGCTCATAAACCAAGAAAGACTCAAGGACGAGCTCTGCTGATGAAACGCCGTCAGGATCAGCAGCAGGCAGAAAGGATGGTGGCTTCATGGCGAGGCCAGGTCAGGCAGCACTACACGCTACAATGACAGGCCTTGTAAGTGATAAAGGAAACTATTCAAGGAACAGCAATAAATCCTGCAAGACATCTCCACCCCATGTGCAGACACAGCCAAAAGGGTTGATGGTGAAAAAAATCAAGCAGTGTCTATGGGGTCAGGAAGTGGTAGACCAAAGCCCTGATGCTGCAGTGTGAGTCTGTTCCACTTGGGCACATACAATCAGCTCTTTGACAACAAGGGCACAAACTAACTTTCAGTCACTGGATTAGCTGTACCAACAGAACATAAAATGAAGTCCTATCTCTCAGATAAACATGCCATGCTGGATGTGTGTGGAAAGGACTCTTATTCAGTTCTCAAATGCTCTAAAAAATGGATATAAACTCAGCACTGTAAACTTTATTTGAACATATGGCTTCATTTATAATTCCCTCTACCTGAGCTGAATTCCTGTATACAAGGTGTGGTAGCCCGGTTCCAAGATGGCCCTCAATGGTCCCTGGCTCCTGTTATTCATACCACTGTGTGCTTGCTGCCACACTGTACTGGGGGCTTGATGTGTGTGAGTGTATTAGTCTGTTCTCACACTGCTATACAGAACTACCTGAGACTGGGTAATTTATGAAGAAAAGAGGTTTAATTGACTCACAGTTCCAGAGGCTGTACAGGAGGCATGGCTGGCGAGACCTCAGGAAACTTACAATCATGGCACAAGGGAAAGCAAGCATATCTTCACATGGTGGCAGAAGAGAGTGAAGGGGGAGGTGCTTCACACTTTTAAACAACCAGATCTTGTGAGAACTCACTCAGTATCATGAGAGCAGCAAGTGGGAAATCTGCCCCCATGATCCAGTCATCTCTCACCAGGTCCCTCCTCCGATACTGGGGCTTACAATTCAAAATGAGATTTGGGTGAGGACACAGAGCCAGACTGTATCAGTGACCAACAAATATGGCAGAAGAAGTGGTATGGCACTTGTCAGATTAAGTTGTAAAAGGCTGCAGCTTCTGTCTTGGGTGGCCTCTTTCTGAAGCAAGCTGCTGTGTTGTGGGCAGCCCTGTGGAGGGACCCATGGATGAGGAACTGAAGCCTTCAGCTGATGGACAGCCAGCAAGGAACTGAGGCAGGCCTACCAGCAGTCCCCCGAGAAAGCTTCAAAGTGGATTCTGCAGCCACAGTTAAGGCCTGAGATGACTGAAATCAGACAGCTTGATGGCAACCCTGAGCCAAAACTATCCAGCTTAGCTTAGCACTTCACCCTTCACGCTCTCCTTTCTGCTGCCATGTGAAGATATGCTGGAATCCAAGAATTCTGGATTCCTAAGACCTTGTCAGATAATAAATGTTTGTTACTTTAGGCTAAGTTTTGGGATAATTTGTTACATTCCAATAGATGGTAACTAATTCAGAGGGTCACAGACTCCAGATTTACATAAAAATGCTATTTTTCAACCATACACTATTTTTCATTCTATAAAATGTTTTAATATGCCTTATCTCCTATGATACAATAATTCTGTGACATCAGAAACACATTAGTATAATCACCTCTCAATTTGGGAAAATGAGCCTCAGAGAAGTAATATGATCTGTCTAAAACCACTCAACCTGCAAGCTATAGAACTAGGACTCAAATCCATCTTTGACTTGAAGCCCAATATGCTTTATGCCAAAGCCCTCCAAGATTTTATTCTTGAACAATGGTCATTCATCCAAAAATGGTTTTTGTTTTGTTTTTTTGATTAATGTCAAGGACTTTAGGAAATCTGTCAAGTTAAAATGTAATTATGTTTTAGAGAAACCCTGTTCCCAAACACCAGAGTCAACCATGGAGTGTTGCTTAGAAGTAGCTGACTATTACAGCACAGGGTCCAAGTTAACTGAGAACTGGTGAAGCAAAGAAAGTGTACGTCCCTTCCAGTCACTGTCTTTGCAGCACAACCAATGGCAGCCCAACCCATCAAGCTGCTTAAGCCAGAAGCATGAAAATCATCCCTAACCCTTCCTTCTCCATCATCTGCCATGGACCTATCACCAAGTCAACATGCTTCCTCTTCCAAATCATATCTCAAATCGGTTCTCACGTCTCTGCCTCTACCATCACCCTACTCAAGGCGCCATTGCCTCCTGCCCAGACAATGAATGTGCTAGACACTGAATATTAGAGGTGGGGAGAGGCAACCAGGACACAGGAGGAGGCCAACAATGTGGGACAAAGGTGACAGCGAAAGTCTTAACACCAAAGGAAAATATCACAAAATGTAATGCAAGACACACGAAGCCACTAAGAGGGCTGAAAAACCCTAAAGCTCCCAGCTCCTATGTCCAGAACATTCTGTTCAGACTTCTCTCTCTACACACACACACACACACACACACACACACACACACACACACACAATTAGTTTAGGGCTGAGGCACAGTTATGCCATTGCTTAATGACAGAAAAATGTTCTGAGAGATGCTTCATCAGGGAATTCTGCTGTGTAAACATCATGGAGGGTACTTTCACGAATCTAGACGGTAGACCTACCACACGCCTGGGCGATACAGTATAGCCTGTTGCTCCTAGACTACAAACCTGTACAGCATGTGGTTGTAATGTATTCTGCAGTCAACTGTAACAGTATGGTATTCGTGTATCTAAACATATCTAGACAAAGAAAAGGTACAGTAAAAATACAGTATTGTAATTATAGAAGCACCCACATATAATCGGTCCATTGACAAAATGTTATGTATTACACGACTATACTTTCAAAGAAGCCAAAATGACCTGAAAATAAGCATAATAGCTCATAATCTCCCTAAACCACATCAACCCAGAAGTTTCAGACCAGGTTTCTCAGGTGTCATGGCTCTTTCTGGAAGGCAGGTTTCTTTTTTCCATCGAGTCTTTCATTAGAACCTATATATGGGCCAAGTGCTTTATCTTCAAGTACATTCCTGATGGCAACTAACCCAGTTCAGGCAACAAATAAAGCAGATCAGTATTACTGTGTATATGCTAAGATGTGCTTGAGCCAAATCCCAGTGAGAAGACAGGGGTCCCACTGGGGAGTCAACAACCGAATGCCAAGCGCTTGGAGTTGGCTGTGGAAAGGTCTGAAGCCTTCTTTCCTGACCCCCTCCAGCCCTGACACCCAGCTGCTTAGTAAGAGCACTGGCTCAGGTTTCACACACAGAGCAATCTGCGATGGCAGCTGCCTCAGTGACCCCTGGAGTTTGGCTGCTTTTCCTTCTCTTTCCTCAACACTCAAGATCAGCTGTCTCCAAACTTTAATTAAACATATATAGCACATTCCAGGCAGTCAGTGACTTTTGAACAAAGATGAAATATGTAAATTTATTTATTTAAAAATTAAATACAGGCTGGGCACAGTGGCTCATGCCTGTAATCTCAGCGCTTTGGGAGGGTGAGGCAGACAGATCCCATGAGATTGGGAGTTTGAGACCACCCTGGCCAACATAGTAAAACGTCATCTCTACTAAAAAAATACAACAAAGAATTAACTGGATAGCTCAGCTACTTGGGAGACTGAGGAAGGAGAATCACTTGAACTTCAGAGGTAGAGGTTGCAGTGAGCTGAGGTCACTCCACTGCACTCCAGCCTGGGTGACTGAGCGAGACTTCAACTCCAAAAGAAAATAAAAATAAAATATTACATACAAGCTTTACAATATAGTAGTATTATGTATTTATAAAATAATACCCCTAAAATAATGAAGCATAAAATATTTTTAAATAATATTTTCTCACCCTTATGGGCCATCCTGGGCCCCCTCCTCAACCCAAAGACATAGCTCCAGGTTCCATGCAGCTGATCTGACTGCATTACAGGGCTCTTGGGACAGGGCTCTTGCCACAACTGATTCCAGGACCCCACTGCCAGTAGCATGCCTTGATCCCCCATTCCTTCAGGAACCCAGCCTCAGAGTGCCTCTCTTGCCTCTGGACCCCACTGTCTCCATCTCAGGGTACCCAGCACCCTCTGTCAGGCCATGTGATCAAACTGCCAGGATTCCACCCAGAATCTACTTCCCTTCCTTCCTCACCTGGAAGACTTAGGCTCAGCCTTCAAGATGCTCCTTGAGTCTTCACTATGAGGTCCCCCTATCTCCAGGCTCAGAGGGTGTGTTCTCTAGATACCAGCAATGACCCAGCCCAGACAAACAGGCTGGTGGATGACTTTAGTCAGGAATTCCCTAGTTGGGAGGGACCCTCCATCCCCTCAACTCCTCATTGGTCTTTTAAAAGAATTCTGATTCCATTGTCCCTGCCTTGAAGCAGAAAAAGGGAAACGTGGCAAAAAGAAACTGGCACCTGCTAATCAGAAAGTGAAAGCACACTGATCACAATCACACACCCCAAAACGCCAGGAAATAGACCCAAGGCTCTTCTGCTGTCCTCTTTTGGTTTTTGATTTTGATTTTTAACTTGCTTGCAAACCTTGGGGGAGAAGGCTTGACTGAGAGGAGCTTCTTGTCTATCCAGAGACCTTGGACTCCCATTCCTTGCAACTGCCACCCTTGCTTCAGGAAGACCTAAGGGAGGGAGTCAACATGGGTGGTGGCTGTGGGCCCCAGAGGGTGCAATAAGGGAAGGGCACTGGATAAGAAGATGTTACTGAAGCCAGGTGCACAGCATAAAGACTCTTTTCCAAAGCTGTAAGATGTCTCAAGCAAACATGTGGTGCTGAGTCAGCTGCCAAACCCTGCAGAAAGGGCTGCTTCCCTGAGTCCTTTGGGGCTCTCGGGGCCAGTTCTCACCCTAAACTGTGAACCCCATGAAACCAGCCTCCCAACACCCTCCCACTGTTCATAATTACAAGCACTTAGTGAACATTTACTGTGGGGCCAGCCATCCTATGAAGCACTTTACAAATATTATCTCATTTAATCCTCAAAACAATCCTATGAACTAAATCTTATTATCCCCACTAAAGAAACAGAAACTGAGGCTTAAAGCAATGAAGTCACTTGCCCCAGGTGCTCAGCTGGCAAGCAGCCCAGCCCAGCTTCAAACCCAGCTCTGATTCTTACCCACTAGGCTACACTGTTCAACCTGCTTCATAATCCTGAACTGCTTGCTGAGACCTGCTCCTCATTCTACACCCAGTGTGTCCATTTTTTCTTGTTTCTGAAGTTATAAATCTTATTTATGAGCTTGCCTGGCCCCTCAAATGTGGCATGAAGCACTGCTTCTCTAGTTGTTTTGTGCCCTCATGTAGCTGTGATTTGCATTTACACATCTCTCAATAGCTATGCAAACTCACACTATCCTGATAAATTATCCCCATCCTAGAATGCCCATTGTGAGCCTTGCTCTGTCCCTGCAATTGGGGCCAGGCAGAATATCTTTACAACATTCAAGTGTTTCTAAGCAATTCCACCAAGCCCTCCAGCCGCATGGCCTCCACAGTCCAGTCTCTGGGTGGGCTGGAGGAATGACACCCATTACCCCTTGGGCCTACATGGTATGAGCCCCCAGGAGGGATGAGATGCTGGAAGTGGCCACTTTCTAGGGAGCATGGTGAACACAGCAGCCCTGGCAGTCCCAGTGGCCCAGGTGCTGCCTTCACTCCTAGAGCTCCCATTTCCAGCTGGAATCTACAGCCATCCTCATTTCCTGTTTTCCATTCCCTGTTCTAGCCATACCCCACTGCCCACCTGGAGGGGTAGTTGTCTTTTAGTTGAGATGCCTCAAACCTGCTATGTGGGTATAAGACGCCAGGAGCTTATACCCACATATGGAGTTTCAGGCATCTCAACTAAAAAGCATTGTGGCTAGTGGAATTTTTAAGCCACTAAGAAATGTTCTTCTTTGAAAGAAAAAGAGGGCCAGGCGTGGTGGCTTACACCTGTAATCCCAGCACTTTGGGAGGCCAAGGCAGGCAGATCACCTAAGATTGGGAGTTCAAGGCCAGCCTGACCCACATAGAGAAACCCTGTCGTTACTAAAAATACAGAATTAGCTAGGCATGGTTGCACATACCTATAATCCCAGCTACTTGGAAGACTATGGCAGGAGAATTGCTTGAACACGGGAGGCAGAGGTTGCAGTGACCAGAGATTGCACAATTGCACTCCAGCCTAGGAAACAAGAGTGAAACTCCGTCCCCCACTCCAACACCCCCAACTCCCCCCCATCCCCTGCCAAAAAGAAAAGAAAAGAAGAAAAAGAGAACATCTCTAGGTGAGTTAAACTGATGGTGGCATCACTATGGAAGGGTCTTCTGCCAAACACTGTGTATTAGTCTGTTTTCATGCTGCTGATAAAGACATACCTGAGACTGGGTAATTTATAAAGAAAAAGAGGTTTAATAGACTCACAGTTCCACATGGCAGTTCTCACAATCATGGCAGAAGGTAAATGGCAAGTCTCACATGGTGGCAGACAAGAGAGAATGAGAGCCAGGTGAAAAGGATTTCCCTTACAAAACCTTCACATCTCCTGAGACTTATTCACTATCAGGAGAACAGTAAAGGGAAGCCACCCCCATGATTCAATTATCTCCCACCATGTCCCTCCCACAAGATGTGGGAATTATGGGAGCTACAATTTAAGATGAGATTTAGGTGGGGATACAGCCAAACCATATCACACTGGGTTCTCTCTTCTTTCCTCTAGAGTACTATAAAAGTAGATGCCCATGTAATGGCCTTAGGCCATGTGTCAATCTAACATCCTCCTGTGCTGTCAGAAGCCAGCTCTGGCATTGGGGGAGACTCCAAGACAGGGAAGTAAGCACCTGGGGAGATCAGGGTCTGAGGTCACCTCACACAGCTTCCAGAAAAATGCATGAGGTTAATTAACAAAGAGGTAACCTAATTTAAAAATCAGAAAGGCTCCCCAGCCAAGTACCTTCTGATACAGGAGTTAAGAAGAAATCACTTAGGCAGATAGTAACGATATGAGGGTCCTCAGTAAGGCTTTGTTTTTTAATGAAAAGCAGCTCCAAATCATTTTCTAACAAAGAGCAGCCTGTAAAATTGAGCTACAGACCTAGACAATGAAGCCGAGGACCTGCATGGGTGAACACCAGCAGGAACTAAGGACTAGACGTGTTAAAGATGGCGGTTCCATCTTCCCTTCTCTTTGTCAGCAACCAGTACCCTCAGGAGCAGACAAAATGGCGCTCATCCATGACTGCAAAACCCATTTGCATAATAAGATTAGGGTAGGGCGACCAGCCTTCTCTGCATACTAAGTAAACATCACTCCTGATCAAACCAATCGGGGAGCCCTATGTAAATCAGAGCCCACGTCCTCAAGTCAGAGTATAAAATCCTGTGCATTCTCTGTCAGTCAGTCCTTTCTCTGCTTCTATACACCTTTCTCTGTACAGAGAGCTGTTTCTCTTTCTCTTCTCTTCTATGAAACCTCTGCTCCTAAACTCCTCGTGTGTGTTTGCATCCTAAATTTTCCAGGCATGCCACGGCCAACCCTACAGGGTTATACCCCAGACAGTTTAGCTGCTTCACTTCTAGCTAAGCCATCAGCGCAGGCCCTTAGCAGACTGCAGGCAGAGGTGCTGAGCGTAGACAACAGCCGTAAGTCGGGGTCAGAGGTGTGAATCACCACACTCTGTGCTGGGAAGGCTATGGTCGCTCCAACAGCCAAATAGGCTCAATTTACTCACAACGCTGAAAGAAGAAAAACACAGCTCTCTCCTTCCTGATAAAATGATCCACGTACATTATGAGCAGATAGGAGAGGGAAAGTAAGGATGAGAAACAATGTTTTCCAAATGCCTTGACTAGGTACAAGCCAATGGTTTTAAAACATTCTTTAGACATAGATCTCCCAGAACAAAGCATTATGGAAAGCCCCATTCATTAATAGATATGGGTAAAAGTGTTCACTTGGAGTCCAAGGTAGTGACTCAGTCCTCTCTAGCAGTCCTGTGGGTAGGGATCTACCACATACTCCATCACCTGCTCTCTCAGTTAAACCTCAAAATAATTTTAGTGGTGAGTTGTTGACCCCCATTCTCTAAGACTAGGAAACCAGGATTCAGCAGGGCTGGGTGACCTGCCCACACAGCTAGCAGGCCCCCCATCCTGAAGCACCACCACAATGATCTGCTTCCATCAGCCTTACATTACAGAAAGTAGACAGAGCTTCTCAATATATACAGAATTAAACAACACCAGCACAGGGGAGGCGATGCCCACAGCAGGGCAAGAGAGAAAGAACCGGAAAGTTGAGAAAACACACAGCAGGGAACCCTGGGAATGGGACAAAACATTGTTTCTAAAGAGAACCACTGGTGCTGATATCTGTCTCATGAAGTGCAGCATCATGCCGTGATGTGAAGGTGAGGGTTGGAGGATGCGTGGAACCCTCTTGCTTCTCTCCATCTTAGGCTCCCCTGGGTGAGACAGACACTCTGCTTTGGTGCAAAGAGTGACAACCTAGTAATTAAAGCTCATCTTCTTGGGCACTTGTGGTCATCTAACAGGCTGTAGGCAACTGTATGCTCCCTTCTCCCGGGGTGGCATTCTGGCCTCTCCACCCACAATCCTTGGCACCAGCCAGCATGATGGAGAAGCCTGGTCTGCCCCAGGTATCATGGAAGAACGGAGTTTACGCAGTGGCCTCCCCATCCCACCCCAACCCCCAGCACAGTCCCAAGGAAGGACACCTGGAAACTGCCTACCGTGAAAGGTGCCGGCACCCACCGTGGTGAGTACTTGGATGTATTTTGCTGGCATGTTGGAGGTGAGAGGGGTTAAGAATGAAACTGTTACTTTTAGTTAAGACAAAATAAACAGCTTAACTCCTCTCAGCTCTCTTCTTCCTTCCCCACCTACAGGGAAGACATCAGCACACAAACGAGGGGCTTTCTTTTAGAAAGCGGTTACTATAGAACAGGACTACAGGATACATGTATTGTGCAGAATTATTTTAGAAACTCTGTGAAGCTACATCAACTGAGGCTTCTCTCTTTATACCATGTATCTGAATATAAAAGTGGAACCAAAAATGTAGGAAAAATAACTAACGGAAGCCCAGTAACACATAAATACAAGATGCACTGTTATTTTTGGTCAAAGTAAGACCTACAGATAATATGGCTGACAGTATTTTTAAGGCTCTGGCTGCAGCCTCCCCAGGCCTGTGGGTTCCTTTCCTGGAGTCCCTCACTCCTGGCACCTGCTGCCAATCCTATCTAGTAGTCAGCAATCCCTGCCAGCAGGCTGATTATCATGGTATTAGCTAAGAAACATTTCCAGATATCATGCCTGTAAAGAAATGTATGTGCAGTAGAAATTGTCCTGTTTCTACACACAAATACATGGCCAAGGACAGTTATTTAATCCAAACTTCACAGTTTAACACTGTGGAATATTCCACGAAGATGCTCTCTCTGCATCACTCTTAAAACATTCCATTCTCTTTCAGTAGACTTTCCACTCCTAACTGTGATCCCTTCCCATCTGCATCTTCCTCTTACTTTTCTGATACCTCCTATGAGGTAGGTCCCATTAATGTCATACCCATTTTGCAGACAAGGACATTGAGACGGAGGTTATTAACCTGTCCAAATGCCACAGCAGATCTGGGTCTCTAGCCCAGTGCTGTCTGTGCTTTTAATCACAGTCTCTTATGGCTTCTCTATAATCTGCAGAGGTGCTTTAGCAGATGTGTGTTCATGATGAGGGAAAGCACTGTGAGGAGATTAACCTGGAAATGCACAAGGCCTATTCAGTGCACCGTGCTGAAATGTAAGGGCCATGAGGGAGGTGTTGGGGAAAGACATCATAGCCAAGGGCGCTCATCTCATGGCAGAAAATTTAAATTGATAGGATGAAATTTCGTCCTACAGGCAATGGCTAACCAGCTGTCTCAGATTTTAAACAGCACACTTGCATGATCAGAATTAAATCTTGGCAAATAAACAGTGCTGAGATGAACTAGAGAAGAAAGACTGGAACCTGGGACACCAGATATGAGGCTATTACAGTTTTCTAAATACAGGCCAGGGAGGCCTTGAACCTAGGCCATAGCACTAAATTGATAGAGGAATAACACCAATCACGTGAGGGAAAAAAAAAAAAAAAAAAAAAGCTATCCATCAAGAATAGGGCCCAGGGGGCCATTATGGTGGCTCGTGCCTGTAATCCCAGCACTTTGGGAGGCTGAACTGGGTGGATCACTTAAGGTCAGGAGTTTCAGAGCAGCCTGGCCAACATGGTCAAATCCTGTCTCTACTAAAAACACAAAAATTAGCTGGGCGTGGTGGTGCTTGTAATCCCAACTACTCAGGAGGCTGAGGCAGGAGGATCGCTTGAAACCAGGAGGCGGACTCTGCAGCGAGCCGAGATTACATCATGAGGCTGTCTCCAAAAAAAAAAAAAAAAAAAAATAGTTCCAGGGTTTAACGTGTGCATTTCAGAGGATGGAGCCGTCACTGAGAAAACATATAAGAGAAGATTTACGATAAAAATAAGTTTGGTTTCATGAACTTGGTAACTTCACTCTGCCTACAGAAATGGCAGTTAAGAGCGGGGGACTTTGGAAACAGAGCTCTTCTTGCATTCTTCAAATTATCTGCACAGGAAAGCACCTGCTCTGCCAATCCCTAAGTCGTAGTAAGACTTCACATGTCCACATGTCCATTTCTTCTAACTCTGTAAGGTGCTTCCACATCTCGTATTTCCCTTTCTCCTAGCAGTACAGTTGAGTGGTCAACAGCACAGGCTCTGAGGTTGAGACCATTTAAGCTATGCAGTTGTTTGGTTTCTCCAAGCCTTTGTCTCCCAGACATGGGGAGCACAG